ACACACACACACACACACAGACTTTATCACAGACTTGCCAAATAAAATCACCCAGCCCTGCAGCCTAGGTAAAGAAGCATGTCTCAGGTAAGTGTTATTCTGCAGCCAGCTTTATGTCAGTCACGCCTTACATATGGGACTTTCTTTCCAGACAACAGCACACAGACAAAATGTATTGAACACAGTCTAGTTCTTCTCTTAAGCACTTCTTCTAAAGGTCATTTTTTTCTGTTTGAAACTGCCATCATGTAATATACAAAATCTTCACTTTAACCAATGGGAAAAAATGTAAGCAAATTTCCTTAAGAAATAAAAGATCTTTATTGATTTAGAAGCAATGTTGGGCAAACAGACAGGCAAATATCTGAGAAGAGATATCGTACATCAACTAGCACTTTAAACATTTGAAGAAAAAACATGGAAAGTACTTACATGGACCAGTTTCTTATACAAGTGCTAAAGCATGGAAAAACATCCCAAATCAAATAGAGTACTATGATCAAGGCGCAAAACCAGTCAAACAAAACAAAAATACAAAAGATACAAAGACAATGTGTCTATAGGAAATAAAAGTGTAAATAGCAGTACATAAACTGGCCCATGTAAAATACAAAAATATTCATTGAAGTCAGATCTTTCTATAAAACAGTGCTTTGGAGGTATTTTAATATGAGACCGGTATATAATCTAAATGTAAAAACTTTTAGAAACATTTTAACAGCATTAAGCCAATGCCACCCACTTGTTCCAATTAGTCTTTATAAAACTCAGTTTTGTTGATTCGTGACAAAGGTCTAATACCTATGTTCTTAAAAGCATAATCCTTTCTTTTAAGATTAACAAGCTTATGCTAAAACATGGTTTAAATGGAAAAATATTTTAAAAATTAGATTTCCATTTCATTCCTAACAAGTGTTTAAGCTGGCCATGCAGATCCCTGTTGCTGTAGGAGACGGTTAGTTAGGAATATGATTCAGAACCAATAAGGTTTTCAGGCTAAGTGGATAGCAAGTTAAAGTGACACAATCTCTGTCACTTCTATATAACTCAAAAGACACTTACAGACATACACATGCTAACATGCAATTACCTATACATGTATGTATATGTACCATGTATTCTACATTAGCATTTTGGAACCCAGACAGTTCTTCATTTTCTGGTGAATGAAAGCCATACAATCTGCTCTCCCCAAGTAACAAGAACCTGCTACACATGGCTGCAGATCAATATTTTAAGAAATGTTTGCTGAGTCATACCAACATTTATGTATGTATGCATATATGTATGAAAGATCTTGAAGCTGCAAGGAATACATGATGTGCTATCGGGCTGAAATAATTTGCTCTCATATAAGCATTAGCTGATGCACAGCAAATGAACAACTGGAGCCATCTCTGCGCACAAAACTGAATACAAAAGTACTACAATCAGCAGTAACAATGGAAGTTTGATTAGCACAGAACCATTTAAACATGAAGCCAAATTAGTAAATGCTGTAGCAGTCGATGCAAACTGCAAATGAAGACTGTGTTAATGGACTAAGGCAAGACTATGACTTTTGAATTAGGTGCTATTTTGTGAGTGTAAGTGCACTTCGTTACCTAGGTTCTAAGACATACTGACATTTCTTGAAGAAAAAAAGAAAAGAATAAAGCATATTGCCACCAACAAGGAAGACTGGATGGTTTAAGAGAAATCTGTATTCATCTTAGTGCTGCATGTAGAGGCCAATTTCTGGGTACAAAGCACTAATGCCTTCATTTGGCACTGCCTAGCAATTATCTCTAAAGCACCTAAAAACATTGAAATGCCCAGTTGGAACTGCCTTGTGTCTTGCAATTTAAAAGATTGAAATATCCAGTTTTAAAAAAATTAACATCTATTCTAAAATTTAAAAAGCTTTTTTTGTGTTTTTGTCATTTCAGCCACATTAAATACAAATGTATTCAAAAAGCATGAGAAAAGGATTTTACTGGCAAGAGCATGATACTGCTGGACTCTGCTCAAATCTACTGATACCTCTTTCACAGGTCAAATACGGAGCAATGCCAAAGTAGCTAAGTCAACCTGCAAACAAAAGTCACACACAATGCAAAAGAAGCAAGTACAAATTCTGGAGATCATGTTCAAAGTCAACCTCATGCAGGCAGAGAAAACCTGCACTTTTTCCTACACTGTACATTCTCATCAAAATTTTTAAGTCAAACACTGAGACACAAATTCCACCCAGTGAAACAGAACCTGTAGCTCAGGTAATTTTGTACACCCCTTTTGCTATAGAAGTTTTAAACTCCTTGGTCAGGAAAAGCAAACTTGCATGACTCAGTTGTAGTTGACAGTATTTGGGATTCTCTTGTTAAAGTTTGAAATCTACCATACCACCCATCTAAGAGCAGGACTGTAACTAAGTGTACCTTCAATAGTATTACATACAGAACTTGTACTTGCTTTGTTATTTTGTAACAAAGATCACATGTGAATTAGCGTTACAGAGTCTGATATCCAGCATAACTCTTTCTTCTGCCAATTAGGTAAGCAATCACTATAACGATAATCAAGCCTGAAAGACCAGCACCAACTATAATTGGTATTAGAATGGTGTCATCATCCAGCGAACACTCCTGGGCTGTAGGTGAGAAAAAGTGTGTAACAAATAATGAGTATAATCAAAAAAGAATGTCCAAAAGTAAAAGATGTTGATTCAAAAGTCAGAAATGCTCTAACAAAATAAATTTCAACTAACAAAGGCAGGCATATTTTTATGACAAAATATAGAAAGTGATGAACAGTTAAAGCTAAAATTCAAAAGTGTGTTCGCCCTTTCATTTGTGAGTATATAAGAAAATATTCATATCTGTAAATAATGTATACTCATTTACTGCTCTAAGTAAAACCATGTATCACATGATATACACACTGCATTATACTTCTAAGATAGGAAAATTACTTTATCAGAAATGAAGAGACCTAAACCAGCCCATGTCTACAGAACCAGTTTAACCTCTGAATGGGAAAGTGTACATCTCTGGGGAGACAAAGAAAACCAAGGTTATCACTGGACTGAGCAATTCCTGGCTTTGGAGTTCTTTAACAATGGGGGTCAGCAAACTACAGCCCATGGGCCAAACCTGGCTGAAGAGCTAAAAATAATATGAATAATCAATTTTAAATGACTGGAAAAGAAGATAGTCTTTTATGAAACATGAGAGTTACATGAAATTCAAATTTTCATATCCTTAAAGTTTTACTGGAATGTAGCCACACTCATTTGTATGAATTGCCTAGAGCAGTTTCTAAACTACAATGGCAGAGTTGAAGAGTTGTGACACACACCAGATGACCTCAAAGCTTGAGAAATCAGTTTAGACTTTTTCTCAAAAAGCTTGTACGTCCCTGGCTTGAAATATGTGAAGAGTTAAGAAACTAGGACCTCTTACTAATTTAAGTGTGTTTACTACATGTTTTATCAATCTGGCTCAGAATAGCAGGCCAAAGGGGCTATTTTTTCTATTTATAGCAAGTAGTCTGATCTAATACAATCCAATCAACACTCTTCAAATTGACTGCAATTCTATTTCCTCCCTGAATAAACACTTAAGTATTACCTGGGTGTTATATTTATAGTTACCCACAACCAAGAACCTAGTGCCATAAATAGATCATGCATTCAATATCAGTATTAAACGTTATATATCTCTCTGGCACCCAATCTTTCAAATTAGGCAAAGAGCATAGCTCATCTTGGGCTACTGCCAACTAGAAAAACAGACCTGAACTGAGAATAATACTGCAGGTGATTTTAAATTCTAAACACAAATTCAGACCTCAAATTAGGATAATTATGTAGGAGAAATAGACTTAAAAAATAAATCGATTACAAGATCAAAATAATTAAGGTAATAAGCAAAACCAACACACAGGAAGAAACTGGATTCTGCTTTAGTTTATTTGAAGTAGGATTTCATATACCCCAGCCTAACCTCGAACTGACTATGTAGCCAAGGATGACCTTGAACTCCAAATACCCCTGCCTTGACTGCCTGAGTACTATGATTATAAGCATGTCACCACTCCTGGCAAAGCAAATGGAGTCTTGAAATTTTTGAAGCTGTGAATAACCTTTCTTCCCACAAGAATGGTAGGGTAAAGGGCCAACTATGTGTTTGATACTCCTGCAAATGCACCAAATAGTTCATAGATGAATAGCTCACAGCACATTCACTTTAATCACAGCTTCTCCATTTACTTATAAACCTCTAGATTAATTGTTTGAAAGGATGGGGATGATTGGAATAGTTCTGCTCAGCAAAGCTCTGCTCCACAAACTCCCAATTTTAAGTAATTGGTTTAAAAGCATAAGTCACTTAAGGAATTTGCTGTACTTTCTTTCTGTCATGCAAATTTTAATCTTCATTGCCAAATACATCTTTTCATATTCACACAAATACAATATAATGAACCCTTCAGGAGATTTCATTAAAACATGATAAAGGCCATCATTAGCCCAAACAAAGTAGGTCTTCAAAAAGCCTTATTTGAACTAAGACTCACTCTAAGGACTGCCTACGTCATTGTGGCTAGCAGACTAGAATTCATGGGATGCAAGTCTTTGCTACCACTACCACCCTTTATCTTGTGTCTTGAGCAAATCAAACCAAGCTGTTTTCATTTGGGTACAAAATGTTTCGCAAGATGGTCCACAGAAGGCAGGTGTAAGGTGCTTAAAGCTGCTGCTTCAAGTGCCACCCCACCCCAAATGCAACCCTAGGGGAGCACCTGTTTCTTAAAATGATTTTCAAAAATTACATCTGCTTTGAACAAAATGATGAGCCAAATGAAGTTACACAATTTGTCCCAGGCTCTAAGAACTTTGTATCAGAATCAAGAAGGGAATTTGTATTTCTCTATGTTCATGTACAAAATCCCCGGGACTCAGAGGAAAAGCCACCTGTAGGATGACAGAAGAATGTAGTAAATAAAGTTTGCTTGCTTCTTACCTGTGGAATACTTTCCTTTCGTCACATTAAAAGGTTGCACCTTTAGGTTAAAGGTGTTTATCTGAAAGGTTCTAGACACTGTAACAACCTGCTCTTTGTTACACATATAAGAACTTCCAAGAGGGGCATCCCAGAAGCTAAGGTTGTTATTTGCAACGCTGAAAACTGCAGGAAAAAAGACAGGCTAATTAACTTCTTAATCTATCAACATAAGAAAAATGAGACAGTCACTAGAGTTGTAAGGGGTTTTAGTAAAATACAGCAGTTTGGAGTCAGGTTCTGACCCCCAAAAAGCAACTCTCACCATCACTAAGTTCACTAATTCATTTGTTTTCTTTTGCTTGGTTTCTGACACAGGACCTCACTATTTAGCCAAAACTGACCTATGCATCCCAGGATGTCCTCAACCTTATGACCCTACTTGTCCCTGCTTCCGAAGGCTGCAATTCCAGGAATGCACCACCACATCCACTTCTCCCTAGTCTTTCCATCAATGCTTCTCTAGTCTAAAATTCAGGCATTTCAATAGCAATTATCCACCATACTTTGAAAAGACGATTCTGCAGAGGAGATTATTCTACAAGAGATACACTATAGTTCTACACTATAAAGTACGGTCTAGTTGTCTAGTTCTACATCAGATTCTAAGTTGTGATGAAGAAATACTTTTTACATAGCATCTTCTATTTTGTAAGACATGGTCTGGCCATAAGCTAATTATCATTTTCACTCCTTCCATAAAACCTGAACTCTTCTCCCCAAGTAAAATGCTGTGCTTACCTGAGCCATTAGCCATATACATGCTGACATTAACTTCCTTCAGATAGAAACGGTTTTCACTTTTCTGTTTGAAAAAGAGCTTCCAGTTAATAACATAGCACAGCTGTCTAAAGAAGCAGTTACTATACAGATGGGGAAACTGTTAGACATCAGCCAGCAGTATAAACTACAACTTAAGTCTTGTCACTAATTGTAATAAAACCATTTTCCAATGCATTTCATTTCTAAACTCTTTGAGCACATTATTCAGGAATTCCTGGATACAGGATGATTGTCCTCTGTTTTATTCTTCTTGTCACTTGCTGAGTCCATACTATGTAGCCTATGTCACAATGTGACCTTTTTTGTTTTTGTTTTGTTTTGTTTTTTGAGACAGGGTTTCTCTGTGTGGTCCTGGCTATCCTGGAAGTCCAGGGCTATCTAGTCACTCTGTAGATCAGGCTGGCCTTAAACACAAAGATCTGCCTGCCTCTGCCTCTTAAGTGCTGGGATTAAAGGCATGCACCACCATACCAGGCTCATAATGTGACCTTTAACTGTGGGTCCTGTCTATCTTACCTGCTCACCATATTGATTTCTCAATACTATTACCTTTGCATTTTATTTTTGCTTTCTAACCTTTGTGTTTGGGGCTGGATCCCAGGGTTTATTGCACATACCATGCAAATGTTTTTCAATTGAGGACATCATCAATCCAACGTTTGTCTACTACAATTTCCATTGCAGTTATTTGTTTTGTGTCTGTGGATGCATGAACTCATACCGTGTGATGTGTGGAGGTCAGAGAACAACTCATAGGACTTGACTCTCACCCTCTACCATGTTGGTTCTGGGGATGGAACTCAAGTCAGCATCATGCTTGGCAGCAAGTGTCGTTGCCCACTGACCCATCTTGTCCAGTTTTTTTGTTGTTATTGGTTTTTTTGAGACAAGGTTTTTCCAGGGAGCCTTGGCTGTCCTGAAATTCTCTCAGTAGACCAGGGTGGACTTGAATTAACAGAGATCCACCTGTCTCAATCCCGAGTGCTGGAGTGAAAAGCATGCTCCACTACTACCCAGCACTTAATTATATGTATTAATGGTGCTTGGTGTGGTACCCTGACACATGTATACAGTGTGTACTAATCAAATAAGGGTAACTGGCATTCCCCTCACCTTAGAACTATCAATGTTTGAAGCTCTGATGTCCCCTTTTCTTTTTTCTTTCTTTTTCTTTTTCTTTTTCTTTTTTTCTTTTTTTTTTTTTTTTTGGATTTTCGAGACAGGGTTTTTCTATGTAGCTTTGGATACTATCCTGGAACTCACTCGGTAGACCAGTCTGGCCTCGAACTCACAGAGATCCGGATGCCTCTGCCTCCCGAGTGCTGGGATTAAAGGAGTGTGCCACCAACACCCGGTTAATGTGCCCTTTTCTAGATCTTCATGAAATATAAACTAGGGTATTCACAACTAGTCATTCCATTGCGGTGAGGAACACTTGCTGTATCTTATCCAGTATCCCTCTACCTAGCCTCCCCACCTTATCTATTATCTTTCTGAAACATTCAACTGATGAACCAGCCATTCTAATAATACAAGTGCTTAGCATACACCAAGTAACATATTTAAGTGCTCCATGGAACTAACAAGCTGAAACAGACTTGTATCTTGCCCTCCTAGTACTTGTAATCTGTCAAGGAATATAAGATAAATACATAATAAATTAAAGATATAGCTCAGTTGTGGAGGACCTGTTTAGCATTTATGAGCCATGGAGTTCTGTTCCCACACCAACTCCACTAACCCCTGGACTGGAAAGAACAGATATACAAATAAGCTAATCCTGTTACAAAAAGAAAGTAGCAAGTTAAGAAAATTGACAGGGCCAGGCATTGGTGGCACACTCCTTTAATACTAGCACTTGGGAGGCAGAGGCTGGCGGATCTCTGTGAGTTCGAAGCCAGCCTGGTCTACAGAGTGAGTTCCAGGACAGGATCCAAAGCAATACAGAGAAACCCTGTCTCGAAAAACCAAAAAAAAAAAAAAAAAAAAAAAAAAAAGGAGGAAAGAAAATTGACAGGAATGAAATTATTTCCAATGAGCTGATGAAGGATGGGGAATGTGGGGTGGGCAGGATTTGGTTACAAAACAAGTGGACAAAGGATATATTCGAGAAGGCAATAATAGCATAAGCAAAGGTAATCAGAAATAAGCATTATCCACACACTTGAGAACTAAATGCCAACCTTGTTCTTTTTGTATGTGAGACAGTGGATTAAACCCAGCATTCTACACACACTGGGCAAGCATCCTGACACTGAGTTATTTTATTTGCTATTTTGAGACAGGGTCTCACTAAGCTGCCCATACTAGTGCTGAACTCATAACACAGGTTGGCCTTGAATTTGCAATCCTCTTATCTCAGCTTCCCAAGTAGCTGGGAGTATAATACCTATGCCACCAGCCCTGGCTCCAACACCTCTATACTACTAATGCCGTTATTGTCCCCAGTTTAAAATGAGTCATTCAAGCACAGAGTTGCTAAGTGACTTCCCCCACTGCTGCCAATTAGTGATCGGCGAGCTGGAATTTCAACCCAAAGTCTGACTACAAATATATGGACTGGTTACTGCTGTGCTCAGATTTCACAAGCTACACCTGAAAGTCAGAGTAAAGGAGAGCCTACTCTTGCTGTATCGAAGAGGTTAGTGAAATAACATACTGACATTTTTTGAGTGGTATTTTTTTGAGACAGTGCCTCACTGTCTAGGTAGCCTTGGACTCTTGATCTTCCCACTTCGCTGTAGGTAGATGTATACCTCCTGCCCCGTCCATAGGTACTTCTTATACATCAGACACTAAGACTCTATCCCCACCTACATATAGTAATATGATTGAAAGCCAAAGTAGTTTGCGTACAATTCTGCTCCAGAATGGTGGTGACTCTCCATCTTCCATCACTTATAACTATGTCCTATTCTTCATTCCCATTTGCTACTATTGCACACATATAACCACCAATCACACAAAACTAAAACTAGTAATTGTTTCTGAGATGGGAGAAATTAAGATCTCCAGTTACTAACAGCTCCTAGTTCATAAATTAACATAAGTATGAGCAACAAAAAAACTGAATGCTGGCCAGGCAGTGATGGTACACACCTTTAATACCAGCACTCAGGAGGCAGAGGCAGGTGGATTTCTGTGAGTTCGAGACCAGCCTGGTCCACAAGAGATAGTTCCAGGACAGCCTCCAAAGCCACAGAGAAGCCCTGTCTCAAACCCCCCCAAACCCCCAAATGTTGGCACTATAAAGGATCCTGGTTTATGAGTTAATATGTACACTTAACACAGAGACTTCATATAACAAGAGAACTGTCCCTCAAATTCTCAGAGGATCAGCACCAGGATCCACTACAAATAACAAAATCTAGGATGCTCAAGTCCCTTTTTCAAAATGGTGCTACCTGCTTACAACTTATACATATCTTATAAATACTTTCAATCACCCCCACATTACTTATAATCCTTAAATATAAATGCTTTGTAAAAGGAATAGTGCATTGTTTACATTTTAATAACAAGACCAGGTCTGTGCACTATAAATGCAATTTTTGTGGCTCTGGTGACAAAACCAGGGTCTTGGGCATTCTAAGCAAAATTGTCTGCCACTAATCTTAAACCCCAGACCTTTTTACTTAATATTGACTCAAGATTGTTTTAATCCGTGTATGCAGGACCTAGAGAAACAAACAGCTGACTATGCTTATTAATGCTAGCTATTACTAATATAGACACTATTATAAAGATTCTTAATGAGGACTGTAGAGTGGGCTCAGCAGTTGGGAGCAGTAGCTGCTCTTCCAGGACCCGGGTTCAATTCCCAGCACCCACATGGCTGCTTGCAGTGGTTTATGGCTTTAGTTCCAGGGGATCTGGCACCCTCCCACAGACATGTATGCAGGCAAAACACCAATGCACGCAATCAAAAATATATTTTTTTAAAAAAGAATCTTAAGCTAGGTGGCGGCGGCGCATGCCTTTAATCCCAGTACTCGGGAGGCAGAGGCAGATGGATCACTGTGAGTTCAAAGCCATGCTAGTCTAAGAGTTTCAGGACAGCCAAGGCTACACAAAGTAACCCTGTCTCAAAAAACAGCGAAAAAGAATCTTAACTATAAATAATTTAAATGTTATGTGTAAACATGAGAATTGTTAAATAGAGAAAATATTACAAAAAATAATTATATGTGGAGTAATTAATTATAGTTAGTTTTTTTTAATATGAGTTCATTCTTTTTCCTAAATTAAAGTATATATAATGGCAGAATGGCAACTTACTCTGTGATTATTAATACAAGAGTCCAGCTCACAGAAAATCGAACTGACTCAGAAATGAACAAGAGTAAACAAGCTTTACTTTATAGTAGTCAAGGTTAAAAGTGAAAAGAAATCCAAATACCCCCACACATACACCTACCGCTGTTTAGACTTTCATATGCACTTCGCAGAGAAAGAACTTAACTTTAGAAAACAGTTGGTACTCACCACAGCAAAGATAAAGTCAAGATACTTAATTTGGCTGTTGTTCAGCCTAAGTTGAGCAGTTTGAGGATGACAGCTGCCAGTGAAGTTAGTTGTACTGGGGTTGATGTTAAAAATGAAAGGCGCCTTCAGGAGAATAAGCAGAAGGAAGGTACAGATTAACTAAAAGTCCATAGCGATGCCTTATACTCTGATGAAACCAGCTTCAATGTACAACAAAAACGCCTTTGTTTCAATATGTGAATTTGTAGTGTCTTACTTTCACAAGAACTTGGCACAAGCCCTCAAGCTATGACTCAGCCGACTTCAACAACAATAACAAGAGGGAAGCTTCCTCAGTAATGAGCCAAATAAAAACACATTTTTGCAGAGCACAAGAGCCATCTGTCTGGCTTGTTTCAATCACAGAATCCTGAAAATGGGATTTGTTCAACAGCCCTCCCCCTGGTGCCTCAATGAGGTACTGCAACCAAACAAGTACTTGAGAGCATAGCTATGCTCTCTGACTCATCAAATAGCCTTGCTCCAGCACACCAACCTACAATGTGGTTCAAAGAAAAGGGTGAAACAGTTTTGGTTTGGTTTTTTATTTCTGGTGGCGTTTGGATGGCACCCAGTGTCTTGTGCATGTTATGAAAGTGCTCCACCTCTTAACTACATCCATTCCCATGCCCAACTTAACTATGTATGCTGAGCTACTGAAGGCTGACAGAATCTAAACCATAAAGAAGCCTGTCAAGCCGGCAGGTATTCTTCTGGCCAAGATGCCTTGAAGGTGATATTAACTCTTCATGGCTATAGTCATTCCAAACTAAACAAAACGCAAGTCAACACCAAATCTGCATTTAAACTTGAATCATTCTAGTAACAGTTCTTAAGTCTATGATAGCCTATATATTACTTGAGATGGAAGTTTAAAAAAAAAAGGTTTACTAATAAAACAGACAGCCCTACCTTCTCCTCAGTGAGGTTCAGCTGCAGCCCCATGGTAGCCAACAGACAGGTAGCATTGCCATTACTAACGGAATAGTTTCCAACCTTTGGATTTGGAGGGGCTGTCGGAGTTGGAGTGGGCGTCGTAGTAGATGGCACAGTAGTATGAATGCTGGGTGCTGCAGTGGTGACAGGTCTGTCTTCCTCACACACAAATTCTAAAACAAAGGATAAAATAAGCTGTGGTAGTCGTCTTGCTTTATTAGGCCAGGGGAGAGCAAACTACTTCTCAGAGTTAGGTTTTCACTGTCTCCGAGCGTTAATTCAAGCAAATGAAGGCCTTGGTGCTATATTTCTAAAGTGGATTACACAGGGGTTCTTCCACTACTGTTTCATATACACATGATGTCTTGTGAGTTTTGACCAGAGTAGACAAACTCAGAATACATCAGAAGGTTGGAGCTACTCAAGTATGGCCACATACTCTTATTTTTCAGGCCCACAAAGCCCTTTATTTCAAAGAACTTCACCTGCCTCTGATGGGAAAGTCATAGCATGACTGAAAACACCCCCAACCCCAGCTAAAATGTTTTTCCTTCCAACATACAACCACTGTGAGGAAGGAAACTGCTTACCAAAAAATAGTTTGGAAATCATTAAGGGTTTTGAATACAAAGGAATCTTTTATTTCCATTCCCCCTACAGCAGGTCACAGGCACTTAAATCCCTTCTTAGGAAGTATCAGTAGTTTTCCAATAATGAATATGAAATTATTACATTTCTATTAAAAAACACATAATATTGTTTTAAAATCAACTTCCGAAAGGTCAAGGTTAGAACACAGAAATCTAATTTCTAAACTTTGGGCACAGAACTGCTAAGAGCACATGGCCAAGCAATTTGAGGAATTGTTCAATGGTCAGGTTTTACAGGCTGAAAACATCAAAGAAAGTATTTTTAAAAGACTATTCCAAGGGCTAGATAACTGGCTCAGCAGTTAAGACCACTATTTGTTCTTCCAGAGGATCTGAGTTCAAGTCCCAGCACCCACATGGTGGCTCAAAACTGTGTGTAGCTCCAGTTACAGGGGATCAGACAGCAGGCATACATATGGTACACAGACATGCATGCAGGTAAACCACGCATACCTACAAATTAAAAAACATCAAATGACCATTCAGAGCCAGGCATGGTGGTGTATGTCTTTAATGCAAGGAATGTAAGAAAGAGAAAGAGGCAAGTAGATCGATGTCTGGGAGTAGGAGGTCAGTCTGGTCTCTACAGTTCCAGGCCCTGGCTCACAAAAACCAAAAGCCATTCCAAGGCTGAGGCTGGAGACATACATAACTCAGCTGGTAAAGTATTTACTCTGCGAGTCTGAGACTTGAGATAAAACCCCAGAACTCCTATAGAAAATAAGCATAGAGGCATATGCTTTCAAACCAGTAGTGAAGGAGCGGGTAGCCACAGGGAGATTCCCACAACTCCCTGGCCCACCAGCCTAGCCTACTCAGTAGTTTCCAGGCCAGTAAGAGACCTTGTCAAGAACCTATGTGAAGGTACCTGAGAAGTTATACCCAAGATTACCTCCAGTGCATGCCCCCCCCCCGACACCATATCTTGTATATATCATAAATTTGCAAGTGAAATTAGCAGTAAGAAGGACTATCACTTTAACCCAGGCATGGTGGCCACACTTTTAGTCCCAGGAGGCAGAAGGTGGGTTTCTGAGTTCAAGGCCTGTCTGGACTACAGAACAACCTCTGGGACAGCCAGGACTATGAAGAGAAACCCTGTCTCAAAAAAACAAAAAAGAATTTCTACCATTTTAAAAATATTTAGACTGGCCAGGCGGTAGTGGTGCATCCTTTAATCCCAGAACTCTGCTGGCAGAAGCAGGGGATCTCTGTGAGTTTGAGGCCAGCCTGGTCTACAGAGCGAGTTCCAGGACAGTCAGGGTTACACAGAGAAACGCTGTCTCAAAAAAACAAGAAGTAAACTGTGCCTTAAGAAATGTTCTCAGATGATGACCTCAATGATACAGTCAGCCCTTAAAAATAAGAGCACATAATATAAATCCATACTTTGAGCACTCACCTTTTTTACTCAGTGTGCCGTTTTCAACAAAAGCTTGCAGATGAACATCCCAGTAGTTCTGGACCACAGAATCCTTAGTGACAGTTAATAAACTATTGCATCTAAAGATGTCATTCAATGGAATTTTGAATCTCTGAGCACTGATAACATCAACACTTCCTATAAAACAATATTAACAATGGCATTTCCAGGAAAACATGAGAAACTGTTAATACATTAACATACAAATGTAGGTTCTTTCCTTCTAGGCCTCCCCCCACCCCGACCATGCCAAATGTGGGGCATGTTGACAGGAATGACAAGTTCACTGTGGCTGAAACTGTAGGGAGCAGGGAAGGCAAGTAATAAGGGTTAAGTAAGACATCAGTAAGACTACAGGAATGGCTCAGTGGTTAAGAACACTGCCAGCTCTTCCAGAGTTCCAGAGTTCAGTCCCCAGCAACCACATGGAGGCTCTCAATGCTTGATTCCAGTTCCATATGATTTGACACCCTTTTCTAGCCTCTGTGGGCAACAGGCACAAATGGAGGCTTTCCACTTTAGCTGCTATTATTTTAATTATTTTGGGTGCATGTGCATTCATTTGCTATGGACATGAACACATATAGGGAGGTCAGAGGATAAGCTTCAGGAGATGGCTTTCTCTTCCTATCACAGGTTTCAGAGAGTCAACTCAGACTGTCACACTCGCACAGCAAGCACTTTTACACATGGAATGATCTGAACAGTCCCACATCAGTTTTTTTATACAATATATTCTGATCATGTTTTCCCCTCTCCCAACTCCTCCCTGACCGTCCCCACCTCCCTATTCACCCAACTTCATATTCTGTCTTCTCCTTACTCCCTCTCTCTTAAAATAAGCAAGAGCACAGCAATGAAAATTGAAACAAAAAAGTGTCAAAACAGAAAGTCCACAAAGAAACACACACACACACGCACACACACACGCACACACACACAACCAGGAGTCCATCTTTTTGCTGGCTAACTACCAGCAGATACCAATTACAAATATCTTGGTTGGGAGTGGGGCTTAAAAGAGGAAATAAGGCCAAATTTATTTTAAGGGCTGTAACAAATATGCAACAAAAAGTAGAGAAAAGCCCTAACTTTTAATTAACAGGGGAAACAGAAGGCCAATGGGCTATACTTAGGTAAAAAGTGAGGGTGGAAAAGAGGGGGTTGCCAACACTAAGAGAGTGATGAGCAGGAGGAAAGATCAAATTAAAAATGTCTCTCTAGGTAGGAGAGACCTTAGTGACTATAAGAAAGGAAGAGTGCTGAGAACATAGCTCAGGGGATACAGTGCTGGTACTTTACAGGTAGACCAGCAGCCCCAGGTTCAATACCCAGAACCCCACAAAATGAATGAGGAGGTGGATCCAAACAGGCAAGTACTGAAACCTCTGCCACTCCAGAGCTAGAAGCTGAAAGACTGGGACTTCAAGCTCATGCTTGACTTCAGCTGGCTAGAGGCCCACCTGGGCTTCATTACAAATGACAGATCTCTCCTCCTCCCTGGGCTGCTGAGATGGCTCAGGGAGAAAAGCGAGGGTTCACTTCTCAGGGCCTACATGAAGATGAGAGAACTGACCCCACAAAGTTGTTCTCTGACCCCCACATACACTCCCACACATCTTAACAGTGATGATAACAACTGTTTTTCAAAAGACAGTCTGATTAAACACAGATTTTTATAATCAATCTCTATTTTTGTGGTACTATTCACAAGTATGTTACATCAATTGTAATTTACTTATAAACTTATTCCTAGATGGAATTTGAACATGATTCCAGCTAGGCGGTAGTGGCGCATGCCTTTAATCCCAGCACTCAGGAGGCAGAGGCAGGCGGATCTCTGTGAGTTCGAGGCCAGCCTGGTGTACAGAGCGAGTCCCAGGACAGGCTCCAAAACAATACAGAGAAACCCTGTCTCGAAAAAACAAAAAAAGAAAAATAAAGATGATTCCATTTCAGGAAATCTCTAGATAAAAAAGTTATACCGCTGTGAACAGTTTTCACTGGAATGCCTACAGTGAAAATTCAAAATACTGATTTCATACAAATCTAAACGGCTTAGTCTCTTGGAGAAACAGAAAAGGCATTAATGATCATTAATACAGGCCTTCTGTGCCTCATCATAAAACAAGGTATCCACTTAATGCTATCTTGGCACCCCCTAATGGGCAGATGAGGTTTGAGAGTTTTTTAAAATTTGAATTTGTTTTCCTAAATTTGTTGCCTTCTTTTTCTTATCAAAAAGGAACAGATGTGAACTTGCTATATAAAGACAGACCTCAAAACACAATGAAGGGGAAACAGGGTGCGGTGGTGCATGCCTTTACTTCCACAACTCAGGAAACAGGCAGATGGATCTCTGTATGGTTGATGCCAGCCTGGTCTACATAGTTGAGTTCCAGACCAGCCAGAACTACTTGGTGAGACCCTGTTTCAAAACAAATTAAACAAACAAACAAAAACAATGATGGAGGTGCAGGGCCCAAGCTTTTAATCCCAGCATTTGGGAGGTGGGGCAGGTGAATCTCTTGAGTTTGAGGCCAGCCTGGTCTACAGAGTGAGTTCCAGGACAGTCAGAGCTGTGGCACAGAGAAACTGTGTCTTGAAAAAAAAACTGATGGGGTAAAAAGTTCTAGACATATTAGGGTTATACTATGAAACTATATAAAAATTACAACTATTATTTTTGAACACAGATAATATTACACAGGAATGACACACCCTGAATTTATGAGGCTGGTTGCTTCTAGCAGGCAGGGAGGAAAGTGTACCTGAGGACTACCTTAAATAGATCTGTAAAGTTTGTTTCTTTAAAATAATGAAGCAAGCCGGGCGTTGGTGGCACACGCCTTTAATCCCAGCACTCGGGAGGCAGAGGCAGGCAGATCTTTGTGAGTTCGAGGCCAGCCTGGTCTACAGAGCGAGTTCCAGGACAGCCTCCAAAACAATACAGAGAAACCCTGTCTCGAAAAACCAAAAAAATAATGAAGCAGCCATTTAAAAACTACATTTATTAGGCCAGGCACACTCCTTTAATCCCAGGACCCAGGAGGCAGAGGCAGACAGATTCTGTGAATTGAAGACCAACCTGGTCTACATAGGGAATTCCAGGACACCTAGGGCTATACAGTAAGGCTGTCTAACATAAAAAATTAATTCTGAGCAATGAGTCTCTGTAGGTCTGCTATTTTATTCTCTCTAGCTTTTTTGTATTTTAATCATGAAAACATTTTGACTAGCAGCTTCAAAGTTACTTCAATTATTAAATGCCTAAAATTAGTATTTCAAAATAGTAAATTATTTCAAAGACAATTCCCAAAAGTGCATGTAAGGAAAGTATTTTTAATTCCAAACAGTTATAATAAATACATTATTATACAGAATACAGTCATAGAAAAATTCATCAAACACTAGTTTAAAAACAAGGAAGGAGGCAACATGTCAATGATTTTATCTGTCAGACTAAAGCCATCTTCCTTTAACAGTTGACCACGTGGTTGGGGCATGCATTACATCATCTCCTGATTATTATAACAGCCTCTGAAGCTGGCTTCTCTGCTTGTAGTCTCCTCACTTCCAAATTAACCGGGCAGTATATTCTCTAGAAGCCATTCCCTCTGCTTTGCTTGTATCGTTTTCTGGCTAAGGAAACCTGCCACAGTCTCCCTGGTGCCTACCCCATCATGCTAACGGCCTTTTCTTGGCTTCCCAGGACCCCTATAATGAGGCCACTGCACTGAGCCAACGGTCTTTGCCTCCTGCTACACGTACAGACAGCCTGGGTTTAATCAGGCAATGGCTGCTGTGCATCCTCTGCTTCCCCCTGGTGGAAACACTCTGCTCAAGGTTTTCCACTTACTCACATTGTACCGTTAGCGGCTGCAACTCAGGCCCCATTTCTCCAGCAAGCTCTTTTACTCCTCCATCATAAACTGACCTCTCTTTCTGTTTCCAACCTCTTCTCTCTCTGCCCCTCATCAGGACCACTAGTGAGAACACTCAGAAAGTAGGCACGCAGCCCAGAGATCAACAGAGGCAATTGCAGAATGCATACTACATTCTAAATTTACTGTGTGCTTTTATGGTGTTGAGAAAGAGAGCCTAGAACTTTCCTCCCATACTCAGAAAAGATTTATGAAGTCTCTACCTACTCAAACAGAAACCACAAACAAAAAATTCAGACTGAGCTCCGTGTTCTTCCTATCACTTGGAAAAGCAAATAAGCTTTGTCTTCCTCAATGATTTCCAAACCACTTGCAAGTCAAGGACAAATCTTATCCTAGTTATTACAGATAATGCCTCACCCACAGAGAGGGTATCTAAAATAGACAATAAGCTCTTGCCTCAGTTATTCTTTCAAATTAAGAGATTAGCCAAATTAAAACTTGGATTTGCACAAGAAAACCCATAGCATCAACTAACCTGGGTTCCCAGGGACTCACAGAGACTGACGTGACAACCAGGGAGCCTGCATGGGACTGACCTAGACCCTCTGTCCATGTGACAGGTGTGTAGTTTGGTCTTCTTGTGGGAACACAGGCCGTCTCTGACTCTGTTGCCTGCTTTCAGGACCCTTTCCTCCTACTGTGCTGCCTCATTCGGCCTTGATAGAAGAGGAGATGCTCAGTCTCACTGAATTTGATATTCCATGGCTGCCTTATAGCCATGGAAGGCCCCCCTTTTCTTAAAAGAAACAGGAAAACTGGAAATGGGGAGACTGGGAGAAGAGGAGGGAGGGAAAGCAGCAGTTGGGGTATAAAAATAATTTTAAAACGCTTGGGTTTGATTTTCAAGTCCTAGTTTGCGCTAGCTCTGAAGTTTAACATGAAACTTATTCACTTCTGAGTCTTTGGTGGGGGCAGGGTGGAGACAGAATTTCTCTGTATAGTCCTGACTGTCCTGGAACTTGGTTCTGTAGACCAGGTGGGCTTTGAACTCATTTACCTGCCTCTGCCTCAAGAGTGCTGGAATTAAAGGCATGCGTCACCACCACCTGGCACACTTTGGAGTCTTTAAGGCATGATTTTTCCATCCACCAGTCCAAAGATATTATTAAACGCCAGATGTAGGCACCTGATGTTGATCTGTTAGTGTTTGTGCAGTCAGAATGGCATACTACATGTGAGAGGTAATTACTACTCCAGACACCATATTAATCTTATCTCATGGGAGGAAGTTGAAAGGAGAGAACTATGTCCCTAATAAAATCAGCATCATAAATTGAACATGGTGGTGTGCAAACACCCATAACCTCAATACTTCAGGGTGCTGCAATAAGAGGAGTGTGTATTATAGGTCAGTCTGGCTTGGAGAGACAAAAGAACTTAAAATCTCCACTATACACACTTTCAAAACACCTTAATGCATATTTGTTTTAAGAATAACAAGATAGCCAGGCACTGGTGGTGCACACCATTAATTCCAGCACTCGGGAGGCAGAGGCAGGTAGATATCTGTGAGTTCGAGGTCTGCCTGGTCTACAAGAGTTCCAGGACAGCCAGGACTGTTAAACAAAGAAACCCTGTCTCACAAAACCAAAAAGGAAAAAAAGAATGACAAGACTGGCCTAATTATCTAAGTTGTTCTTGACCTGAAGTTGTCTCAAAATAGCAAATGTTGACCTTAGTTAACTTTAATCCCTATTTATCTTTCAAGTAAAAGTGCATCCTAATAGTAAAGAGATCTGAAGGGGAGGTATTTCTTCTAATCTCAAATTACTGAACTTGTATACTTTCAGTTAGTAAAGAATTTTCTCATTCATTTAACATCTGCTGAGTGTCCATAATAAGTGTATGAACTCTATCGCCAAGTAAGCTTTGCTTCAAACGCTAGCTTTTCACTCACTAAATTTGGAGCCTTTTGCAAAAGTCACCAAGCCTTGTTCCCTTTACTTACCTCCCAGGGTTGCTATAAATTGTACGCTCACTAAAACACTGCGTGTGACAATCAGGTAATCAATGGTATAGAGTAACACACTCCAGCAATGACAGTCAATATCACTTTGTGCCCAACACTCTTCTATTCACAGAGTCAGGACTGAGATTGGTAAGAAAACTGATTTTTCATTTTTATTAAGACAAATGGGCATATTAATGATTATTTTGTTATATTTTTGTTACTACCAAAAGCAAGAGAATGTAACATAAACCAATTCTGAAGGTTACCTTTATGGGCAGCACCAGGAAATGTTGTGTTATCACTAGTATTGTAGGAAATTGAGATGTTGTCAATAAAATAATGAGATGCATCCTTGGTAAAAGTCACATTCCAAGAGACAGCGGATCCAAATTGCACAGCTATTTTAGCGCCACTCCGGTCATCACCACAGCTGCTTCCATTATATGTCACGTTGTGAGGTTCTGAAATGGTTACTGTTTTCTGAAAGATAAAAAAAAATTTAGAACTGGCTGAGAAAAACCAGCCGTGAGCCCAGCACCTTTGCCTGTGTGTATATTGCTATGAAAAGCGATCTCAGCTTCTTGAGTTCCACACCAGGTATCTGGACAAGTCCGTATATGTCTAAAGAAGATGGGAAAAGCTACCCGAGTCTTCTAATCTAGCCGCTCGCTCATTTCTGCAGACTTGGAGACGGAGTTCAGGGTCTCATGCACAATGGGCAAGTGTTCTACCACTGAGCAATTTCCCAGCTCGTACTATTTTTGTAAGTGATGCTATAGAGAAGGCCTTAACAAAATGAAAATAAGGCAAAAAGACCAAGAAAAGAACAACAAAAAGGCAGACAGAAATAGCAAACTAGTTCTTAGAAGCCGGGAACTGGACAGATGGCTCTGTGGTTAAGAGCACTGGCTGCTTATCCACAGCACCCAGATTGGATTCACAGAATCCACACTGGGCTCACAACTGTCTGGAACTCCAGTTCCAGGGAAAGCAATGCCCTTCTCTGTCCTCTTCTGGCACCAGGAAAGAGTGGCACACAAACATACATAGAAAAAAATTTAAATCCACATATCCATATATACACACAAAATTTTTTAAAGATGAAAAAAAGAAATTCAAGATTTAATGTTAGTGTGTTATTTTAGAAATGGTTAAAACTGAAATACCATGAAGACTTTCCTCATTGGCATATAACCGTATCCAAGGAAAACGCCAAAAAAAAAATGAATTGAAAGCATCCACTCCAGGTGGATAAGAGTATAATCCTTTTTGAAAACATAGGATTTAAGTGTTAGGTCAATTAACATGAAATCTTATTTTGTACACATATATCTAAATGGTAAAAAAAAAGTCTAAACATGAAGACAGGCGTAGTGGTGCACACCTTTAATCTCAGTACTCAAGAGGCAAAGGCAGGCGGATCTCTGAGTTTAAGGCCAACCTGGTCCAGAGTTCCAGGACACCCAGGGTTGCATAGAGAAAACCTGCCTCAAACAAAACAACAAAAAGAGCCTAAATATATATAAATCCCTACTATAAAACTCAAGACAAATATGGGACTGGGAAGTAGTACAGTGACAAAGTACTTACCTAGCACCTAAGAGGCTCTGGGTTCAAACCCCAGCACCACCACCAAAACAAACAAACTGTTTACTATAAGGGATTAGAAAGATTCCCCAGTGTTTAACAGCAGTGGCTACTACTCTTCCAGGGGATTCCCAGAACCCACATGGCAGCTCACTCTCATCTGTAACTCTGGTTCCACAGGATTTGATGCTGTCTATTGACCTCTAAGGACACTATACGAACATACACAGATACCCATTCAGGCAAACCACCCATATACATAAAAAGTAAATCTCAAAAATGACAAATGTTTACTTACATAGGTTTTGTTTGTTGTAGTTTCATAAGATATTGTGAAATTCATCTCCCATTTTGCAAAAAGGCAAGTACCTTTCAAATCTTTCAAATTAAGTTCCAATGCATAGGACTTAACAGCTCCTAGATTTAAAAAAAATTGAACAATATAAGATAAAAATAAATTCTAGCTACTGCTGAAGTTCAACTCTAAAATGAAACCCATACGTTCAAGTATATGGTGTCCTGGTAGTTACTTTCTTTGTAGTTTTTAACAGAGCACTAGTAATTAAGGTACCATTTTCTCTTCTGGAAATAAACGGCTGCTAGATCCTTGATGCTTAGGTGATGGCAGAAAGTAGCGACTTTCGATTCCCACATTCACTTGTACCTTATTAGTTCAGTTTTTTCCTGTTTTTTTTTTTTAACGAAACAGGGTTTCTCTGTATTGTTTTGGAGGCTATCGGTCCAGCCGGGCCTCGAAATCCCAGAGATCCGCCTGCCTCTGCCTCCTGAGTGCTGGGATTAAAGGCGTGCGCCACCACTGCCCTTAGTTCAGTTTTTGACAATTACAGTTGCCTTTTTGCTGTTCTTGCTTGTTTTTTGCAGTGCTGTTGATCAAACCAGGGCTTCACGTACTGGCAAGTGCTCTACTGAGCCACACTCAATGCTTCTTTTAGTTTTGGGGGTAGCTAAGGTAGGGGAAAGTTTGGAAGGAAGATTAAACTTCTGTTTCTCACCGGGCGTTGGTGGGGCATGCCTTTAATCCCAGCACTCGGGAGGCAGAGGCAGGTAGATCTCTGTGAGTTCGAGACCAGCCTGGTCTTTAATAAGAGCAAGTTCCAGGACAGCCTCCAAAGCCACAGAGAAACCCTGACTCAAAAAACAAAAACAAAAACAAAACCCTCTTACTTCTCTCAAATCTATCAGTGAAACTTTCTCTGCAATAATGATAGGTCAGATGTCTTATGCTCTCCCTCAGAATTGTGTTGTCAACTGGATGCTATGACACATGGAAGTCTTCTCAAATGATTTTTCTGATATGATCAGGGTTAGCTTTTCTAAATACTGTATCGCAAGACCCAAGAAGCATCATCTCAACAGGCTGTCAGAGCCTAGATCCGTAAGAAAAGTCAATCTTTACAAATGCAGATTTCATAAATTTATTTCAGCCTACAATTAAACTGAGTGTCAGGAGATGGTGTCACGCCTTGAATCCCAGCACTTGGAAGGCAGAGGTGGGTGGATCCCAGTGAATTTGAAGGCAGCCTGATCTACAGAATGAGTTCCAGGACAGCCAGAACTATTACACAGAGAAAACCTCTCGAACAACCAAAACGAAAACAACAACAAAAAAACTGAATTGAATAAAAAGCTGATGAACCTTTCACATGGACCCACAATTCCTTCCTAAATTCTCAACCTGCTCCTTTTGTAAATGGAGAAACTTTTCAGGCAGAAATGCTTTGGGACTTTTCACCTAACTTAACTCTCATGTATACTTAAAGGTTACTGAACTTAAACTCAACTGCTTAAAGCTTCAATATTCTAATGGAGAAGGGGGAAATATACCAGCAAATACACCTGCAGCATACATAACAGGCAACCCTATGAGAATTGTCTTGCCTGTCTTATACATTACCCAAGGGGAAAGTTGTTTCCTGTTAAGATAGCTGCACACCCTTTAATTCTATCCGACCAGTCCAGTGTCATCTACAGGTAGGGACATGTTATTAGACTAGAGAAAACTCCTGCGAGGAATACCAAACTGGCATGCCTCGGCACCAACTTTCATGCTGCTGAGACCTGGCTGCCTTAGCAAGCCCAAACAGTTTGCTAAAGCTTGTGGTTGCTGACAGGGACTAAGTACTGGCAAGGATACATAAAGACCTTGTATGAGGGACACAGGTTTTTGCCACCGTTCTTTTCTCCATAGCCATGGGATGGAACTGTCAAGCAGATCCAAGTCTACCCTGCAGAGTGCTGCTGAGAACTCCAGCTTACAATTTTCCCAGTCATCTGAAGGTTTGGTGTGCCTGTGCTCACTCCCTACGCTTGGCATAAAGTCCCTAGCTTGTGTTCCTGGTATAAAGCCTACTGGATCATGATATATGACCTTTTAAATAATTTGCTGGATTCAATTTGCTATTGTTTCATTAATAATTTTGCGTCTATATTTACTACAGGTATCAGTGTACAGCTCTCTTTTATTGTACTCCTTAGAAGTTGAGGCTGGAATTGTGGTCACAAGAAACTAGGCAGAGTAGATGGAGATCGAGTTACAATTAGGACAATTAGGAGTGAGAAACCCTGATGTGCTTCAGTGCACTACACAGTGGGGTGAATACAGACAGAAGCAATGCTTCACAAAGAAAGGATTTTCAAAACTTTCCCTATAGAGGTGAGCAACGCCAGGAATCAATGTTTAGTTTGAGTCTTTAAAAATCATACAATACTCATATGTGTAAAAATCATAATACCTCATTTTATTGTGTACAATTTTGTTTCATGTATTAGTTAAAATCAATTTTTAAATAAATGGTACTCTTCTTCTACTCAAACCACTCAAACTATTAGGAAAATAATTGAGGGGGCTGGAGAGATGGCTCAGAGGTTAAGAGCACTGACTGCTCTTCCAGAGGCCCTGAGTTCAATTCCCAGCAACCACTTGGTAGCTCACAACCATCTGTAATGAGATCTGGTGCCCTGTTCTGGCCTGCAGGCATACATGCAGGTAGAACACTGTACACATAATAAATAAATCTTTTTAAAAAAAGGAAATAATTGAGAATCCAGGCATGGTGGTGCACACTTAAAACTCAACATTCAGCAGGCTGAGGCATGAGGCTGCAGGTTATGGCTAAAAGCATCTGTCGTTCTTTCAGAGGACAGGTATTCAATTCCTAGTACCCACATGGCAGCTCACAGTTCCAGGGATCCCATGCCCTCTTCTGGCTTCTGTGGGCACATAATTATATACATGCAAAGCACTAATATACATAAAAACAAATGTGAAATACTAAGCAACAAAGGATACGCTGGAGAAATGGCTCAGTGGTCAAGAGCATTAGATGCTGTTCCTGAGTTTGAGTCCCAGAACCCCATGGTGGCTCCAAACAGCCTGTAACTGCAGCTCCTGATATCCTCTTCCGATCTCGGCTGCACTAGGAACACAAGTGAGGCACAGACATGCACACAGGCAAACCGCCACGCCCATAAATTAAATTTTAAAAATGTAAAGAGGCTGAGGCAGGTGAATTACATGTTCAGAGCTAACCTAAGCTACAAAGAAAGATGGTCTCAAAAACAGTATTTGGAGGCAGGAGGATCCCTATGAGTTTACGGCCAAAATGGACTACAGAGCAAGTTCCAGTACAGCCAGGGCTGTTACACAAAGGAATGCTATTTTAGGAAAAAAAATTATGGAAAATAAGTATCTCATATGGCAATTATTCTCAAAGATATTAAAGTAACAGAAAGAAAGTTGTGTAGATAGTAATGGGAACATTTTGCCCAAGGTGAGAAAATAAAGATTTTAAGAAGAGTTCGGGTGGCAAGCGGTGGTGGCGCACGCCTTTAATCCCAGCACTCGGGAGGCAGAGGCAGGAGGATCTCTGTGAGTTCGAGGCCAGCCTGGTCTACAAGAGCTAGTTCCAGGACAGCCTCCAAAGTCACAGAGAAACCCTGTCTCGGAAAAACAAAAACAAAAACAAAAACAAACAAGCAAAACAAATACCAAAAAAAAAAAAAAAACAAGAACAAGAAGAGTTCGGGTAGTTGTTCACATTTATCACTTACAATCAAACCCAAGATAGCTAATCTACCTCCTGAAGACTGGAAACAGGAATGCCCTGGAAATGACACTTACCAACCCATCCCTCTCCAAGCCCACCAATATAGTGGTTGCTTTTACTCCAAGGCTTATCAACTCAACAAGTTCAAAATCCACCTTCATTCTTTTACCTCCCCCTCCAAATGGCTTCCCTCCTCACCCCCATCCCTTGAAATAGAAAAGCAAAGTCTGAGATTTTCTTCCTACTTTTTATTCCCAATCAACCACTCCATCGTTATGCTACTACAGACCCCTCTGAGATGTCCCTGAAAAGCACTGCTAGATACTAACTCCTTCTCCAAAATACCCCCATTTAAACACTTACCGGTTCCCAAACTAAATTTAAGTTCCTGTCTGACTTTCAAAGTAATCTTTAATCTTGTCCTACCCTATGGCTTCAATACCATTCAGATCATTTTTCCAGAACACACCCTTTAATCTGGTCGAAACTTGTTTCCACTGAGCCCAAAGGCTACACTCCACTCAGTGGCTTCTATGGTTTCTAGCACTTGACATCCACTTTCTTCTGATGGCTTAAATCTTTTGAGGACTGCATTCCTTGGGGCTGTAAAGGTGAGATAACTGAGCCTTGGCCGTGGTGGCGCACACCTTGAATACCAGCAGAAGCAGGACGCTCTCTGTGAGTTCAAGGCCAGCATGATCTACAGAGCAGAGTTCCAGGAACAAACAACAACAAAACTGCTGGCCCACATCACTGGCTGCTACATGAACTGAAAATGTTGAACACTTGCTTTCCCAGCCTCCCTTACAGCTAAGCTAACAAAGAACTCTATCCCAGACTTAAAGTAAAAGCACTGAGAATGGAGCCCAGCATCCTATGGTTAAGGAAATGGCTCAGCAGATTCAAGTGCCCAGGCAAAAAGGTGACACTAGCCAGTGGTAAGAGCTTTTTTGCACTTGGTCATAACAGTGCAATCCAGTATTGAACCTGGTTTTGTTACACAAGGCCAGAGGTGTTCCTCTTTCTAAGTCACTTAACCTATTATGCACCTTTGTAAATTTTTGCACATCATTTATTTTATGGTTTGGGTGCTGGAGATTGAACTGGAGGGCAAGTGTGCTACATGCACAGCCCTTGCTCACTTTTGTAAAAAGATAAATGTTATTAAGATGTAACATTCTTGTCAGGAGTTGGTGGCGCACGCCTTTAGTCCCAGCATTCGGGAGGCAGAGGCAGGCAGATCTCTTGTGAGTTCGAGGCCAGCCTGGTCTACAGACCAGGACAGCTTCCAAAACAACAACAAAAAAAGATGTAACGTTCACAACAGAACATGCAAGGAAAAGGTGTACC